ACACAGACAGAGAGAGAGAGAGGAGAGAGAGAGAGAGAGAGAGAGAGAGAGAGAGCAAGAAGAGAGAGAGAGAGAGAAAGAGAGAGATAGAGCGAGAGAGACGGATGAGAGAGAGAGAAAAGAGTGTGAGAGATAGATAGATAGATAGATAGATAGATAGATAGATAGATGGAATTATTTATATATAGTACTCTACTTCAGCTAAAACATAGCGAATTGATACTGACGTGTACCTCAGAGAATCGAAGTGTGTCAAGAGTACATAAGGATAATAATCTAGCTCCCATTATGTACTCTTAAAGTGTGTAGAACTGTTTTCCCGTTACGAAATTCAACGTTACGTAAACCTCATGCTCCCAATACTAACGCTCTTGCTCGTCGCCTTCGTGAGAGCAAACGGTTGTTTTTGAGAAGCTTTCTTCCTTCGCCCGTGTCGCTTTCTTTCTTTCTCTCGCGCTCTCGTTTTCCATACGAATTTATCATAGTAGTGATGCATTAGGATGCATAATGTAATTAATGATGTAATTAATGATGTAATTAATTATGTAATTAATGATGTAATTAATGATGCAATTAATGATGTAATTTTCATGGTGATTCTCAACATGCGCGAAGAGAAACGTAATCACGGGTGGCGCCAGTGTGGCACTAAATCCCCATCTATAACAGGGCCGTAGGGTGAGCAAATTCCTAGGGGGGGGCAGTGGCGGATCCAGGATTTCAAGGAGGGGTGAGAAACAGGTGGGGGTCTGGGGGTCCTCCCACAGAAAATTTTGAAGATGTAGATCGTATGTACAGATAGTACAGTAGATTGTATGATCAAATGTACAGCCTTCATTCTGACTACGACAATTCTCTTTTAGTAGAACAATTTATTTTTTTAATTTTGCTTCAAAATCTAGGGGGGCAGCTGTCAGCTACGGCCCTGAACTTGTAATAGAACGTGATCAGTCGAAACGACGCGAAGAAAGCCTTGATCAATCAAGCATGGGTTGAGAAAGCGACCGTGTTTTCCTCATGTAACCGCGTATTGCCTTTATTTTGCCTTCAGCAGTGACAAGGTGTTTCGGCACTGAGATAGACCGAACCGTCGGCAACGACCGTTTCTCTGGAAATCACGGACTTGACTACAGTACAGGCGATCACGTGCGCGACACGTGCCTGGAGAGATTCACACAAGCGCATGCGCGAAATACCGACCAGACTATATCATACTACCAGAGGTGAATAGTGACAAAATTGTGACAAAATAAATTGTGATACAATAATGATAAATAATGATAAATTTGTCTCCCCAACACCGTACGGGGAAGAATTGGCTTCCCACATTCTGATGCAACCATGGGGTAGGGTGTAGCACTCTCTAAAGTCCACCCACATGTGAGAGGTGGGCTCCACGGCCTGATTTAACTACGGGAGAAGGTTAACGCATCCTATATTCTAACGTAACGACAACAGGGGGCTGGAATTCGGATACACACGCACATACCAGCGTTAAGCTGCGTTTACACTATCAACTTTTTTGTTGAATGAGTTGTGAAACTTGTCAACTAATCGACCGAAAGTTGGCAGTGTAAACGCAAAGGTTTAGCGCCCAACTAGCCTAGTGTTATTGTAAAACCAGCTTTACATTTAACCCGACACGCTGGCGCATGCGTGGTCGCTTCCTGGTCGTGTGTTAGCTAGTGGTCGCCTGACTGACTCAAACTAACTATTAATTAATCGATAAATTAAATCATTATAAGCGTAAAAGCTATAAATTTTAAAATATACAGTCTATAATAACAACTAGGAAAATATAACCATAAATGATTTAACGTTGACATCTATAGGTATTGAGCTACATAGAATATTTTTAGAGTAACGTATAGATATTGGAAGAATAAAAACATGTATCTATGAAATTTCAAGTATTTTTATCCATAAAAAGAAACAAGAATGCATTGAACCAACACATACTCTCTTGCCCGCTCGCTCGCGCGTCACACATGCACACATAAACGAACGCACCCACACAAAGATCAGTGAATAAGGCTGGGGCATATTATCACACCTACTACCGCGCCCTGAGGGAAGTAGCTTATTCCTACTCGATAATTGTAGCATTTACGCGATGTTAACCTCGCACGATATAGCAAAGCTGTCTATGCCCATCCTACAACCGGATGGGCTGTCCTTCAATAGGTAAGGACTTCCTACCATAAACGAATGTTTTGTGGTGTTTTTAGGGTTAATAAGCACGTCTAGTTCCCCTGGCTTAACAACGTGGTTGCTATATTCATATGTTTGCTGCAAGAATTGTCACTCTATTTCTCACACTGTAATATTATAAGAAAACTAACATAAGTCAGAAAAATAAACGCGATGGATAGAACGGTAGAGCGAGGGTACACATCACAAAACAATAAACAACAAAAACACGTTCAACTCCGTACTAAATGTTTATTACACAAAACACCGTGAAAATAGCTCTCTCGCTCCCCACTTCTCTCTGCTCTTCGGGAGGTAAAAATACGGGATACAGCTTTATTTCAAAAGCAAACGTGAAAGACTTCATCTACTTGCAAAACAGATCCCTACTTCCTGTATTTCGTCTTTATATGCATTACCCGCGATCGATCGATCCTCTAGCAACACGCCTCGAATTCTATAAGTTAACAACAACCAAGTACGCGCAAGTGCATCACAACACGATTTGGAATGTCACTGTGACCCTAGTTGTACTTAGGACGCTCAGTTTTCTGTCCAATAAAACAGGAATTCAGGTATAAAGCTGATGAAAAATGAGGTGCTGCCACCTTTCGGAAATATAATATTACCAGTCTCTGTGCGGACCATACTCAATCAAGCTTAGTAACCCGTTAGACAGCTACCTTAGTAAACAAATAGTAAGTCAATCTTTGTAGTGACAAACCACGCTATCAACTGCTGACATTCTGTTTATAAAGTCTCGAATGCCGTCGTGGAGTGAATGGTTTGTCCACCCCGATTACAAAATAATCATTTGCTGTGATTCAGTGAACCAACCTTCACTGCCCCCGACTCACAAACTTCACGAGGTTTACGCCTGCAATCCACAACGGAGTGCAATCGACACCATCTTGACAGAGATTACAAACAAACCCAACACGTAACAGCTGTTCAGTACACCACAGCCGGCATCCTCATCCCAGTCACTCGTGACGTCACCCATCCTGTCTCGCACCGTGCGCACTACAACATGTTCACCAATTTTCCACACCGTCACGCTCTGGAACACGAACACGCCTAGCACTAACAAACATCTGATACGATCGCGAAGTCTATACTAAGCCCGTTGTAAGATCCTCTAATACGACACCGAACTAATTCGTGTTAAACTATTGACATTCATCTTCAGATAAGTAACAGCGATCAGACTATGACGCGCCCCAACTAACATACGACGTCACACGGGTAAACACTGCCATGAAATACATGATACCCACACTTTAATATATATATATATATATATATATATATATATATATATACAGGCCCGTAGCCAGGGGGGGTTCGGGGGGTTCGAACAAACCCTCCACCGAGCCAAAATTTTTTTTTTTTTAAATTTGCAAGAATTTCACTTCAGGTCGCTCCATTTTAGTGTAATAATTGCAAAATCTCCATCGTGCGGGAGGGTGAACAGTGAACACCCCCCTCCCACACCCTCCCCCCGCTCGGTCGCTTGGCTCCCTCGCCTGGTCGTTTCGCGCCCGAGCAGGGGCGTGTACAGGGGGGGTCCAGGGAGTCCAGACCCCCCCTTGCTCGCGCAGACAACGCATCTGAGGGGGTGTAATTTTAAAAAATTTCTGGGGGAGGGCCCCCCAGACCTCCCCTTCGCATGCTCGCAACTATGGGTTACGGTTAGACCCTCCTGGTACAAATCCTGTACACGCCCCTGCCAAGCAAATTGCCAACATTGAAAAACGAACCCCCCCCCCCAATAGAAAGCTGGCTACGGGCCTGTATATATATATATATATAATTCACTCCTGATATATATATAGAAGTAAAATCACACACGAACACCCATGTAGATAAAAACAAATTCAAATAATAGGTAAAGGGTGTAAAGGTAATAATAGGAAAGTTTTAATACGCAAGCTTTCGAGACGTACAAATCTTCTTCAGACTTTCAGCTGACATACTGAATTTCAGAATGCTGGATTTCTGCAGGAATGTAAGCTGAAAGCCTGTGGAAGAGATGAACGTCTCGAAAGCTCGCGTATTAAAACTTAAACACCCTTTACCTATTATTTGAATTTGTCTATATATATTATTAGGAGTGAATTTAAACAAATCCGCTCTCATTACGACTCTTCATTTCCCCCGTCAACATTTCACGACATACTCGAGTATCACAACTCGGCACTAGATATCTTAGACCGCTTACACACTATTATCCGTGTTGAATATACACAGCAATGTCAGTAACACGTTTAGGCAGAATAGATATAGACTATCCGCAAACATGGTATATGTAAAACTAAAACAATCGAGCAAGGAATACGGGCTGTGATTTTCTCAGTGCTTTGTTAACGTTACTCACTGTCATGCACATGACAATGCTTAGACAGACTATGGACCAGATAGCGTGATTGCCATCGAAATCTAGAAAGCAGGGTTCTCCAAGCTTTTTCATTATAGCATGGCGAGGCTGCCTTTACGGTCCTAGTTTTAGCATTTTTTAGCTAATTTTAGCATGGCGGCTATGACATTTAGAGTGGCGGGTGCATTTTAAGATGGCGGGGCTCGACGATAGCCTGGCGGGACGCCAGGCTATAAGTGCTCTTGGAGAACCCTGGAAAGGGAGTACGCATTAACGCAATGTTAAATGCATGACGCAAAGTTCGGTAAATGGAGAGGCTTACGGGCCACAGTGCCACACTAAAATGCCTTCTCACAGTTACATTGGCTGTGAATAGAGGATATCAAATAGAGTATAGAAAATGCCATTATACATGCAGCTTTTTACATGACACAAATCCATTCATCGAAACGAGATTACTGCAGTTGAAATTGTTACTGCCTTTTGAAATGTCATTCAACATAACAGACAAAAATCCATATAAATTGTAGAAACCAAGTGCAAAATTTGGCAATTAGACCACAATTTCAAAGTAAAGTCCATGAAACACATTATTATTAAAATTGCATACAAACATGCACATATGGTTTGTTGGTAGTTGCCGTGGTGTGAGTGGGTGTGTGTATGTGTGTGGCTATGTCTGTTTATATGCCTGAGTCCGAGTCTGACACTGTGTCTGTATCTGTGTCTGTGTGTGTGTCTGTGTCTGTGTCTGTGTGTGTGTGTGTGTGTCTGTGTCTGTGTGTGTGTCTGTGCCTGTGTGTGTGTGTGTCTGTATCTGTGTCTGTGTCTGTGTGTGCCCGTGTCTGTGCCTGTGTCCGTGTCCGTGTCCGTGTCTGTATCTGTGCCTGTGCCTGTGTATGTGTGTCTGTGTCTGTGCCTGTGTCTCTCTCAAACCAGGATTTGTTACAATGATATGGACCCTGACTACCAGAATTGCTTCACAAATAGGTTAACTCTTTCAGACACCTGGATGGCAGTCTCCATGGTGACAAGTGCAGCCCGGGCCATCGCCAGATTTACCGCATCCCACGTGTATATTGCTGTTTCGTGTGTCCACTGCCAAGCTGCCACAGTTGTGATACTAATCGTTCTGTACATGTCCTTGAACCAAACCTCCAAAGCGACGCAGTGATCTGTCTCTCTTGCCATCTCTGTGCAGTAGAAGTAGAGGCCGGCAGCCGCAGCAGCTACAGTCACGGCGATAGCCAGCAGGAAGAAACCCAAACTGCTGCTGCTCCCTACAAACACAAATCCGTCATTACACCCTAGACAGATGCACGTGCTGCCATCTGTTGAGCAATTACTTGTAGAACATCATAAAACAAAGGCATGCATTTCTTCACGGGTGAATAATGACACAATAATTTCTAATTAGTCACCCCTGATTTCTTTTATATACGAGTAGCTGCAGTGTCAATAACAGTGAGTTTACAAAAGCTCTCGGAGTATAAACATGATGCAGGACACATTCATAAATGGTATTAAATGCATACTGTCAAGAATTTTCATTCGCAACCATTCCGGTAAGACTCCACTGCCGCAGCGTTTGCTCTGCCCCTAACCTAACTGGTGTCCTATAATTGGAACCCTAACTCCAACTTTTCATCGTAACATTAACCCTAATCCTAACCTTCACCACTGCTCATAACGCATGCATCAGTGCAACGCTGCCTCTAACCTTTCTTCTGCGCACTGCGCTCATTAGATTTGGCCTCCATGCCCTGCCTGCGCTGTGTTGGTTCTCTCTGCATATCCTGCAGATCTGACTCCCTCTTCTTCTTGGCTTGCCCGGCCTCGTATTCTCTCCTCTTCCTCTCCTTCTCGGCTTTCTTCTGCTGTTTCAAAATCTCTCGTTCCCTATCATCCTCTTTCTTCTTCTTTTCCGCTTGCTCTGTGAAATAATTAGTAAAGTGGGAGGCTAAGGAATTGACAAAAAGCCAACCATTCTGCGTTAGAGCTAACTTGGTCAATTTCTACTCAACTGCAAAGTTCAAACGTACTGCTAACCTTTCTACATTACGTGCTAACAACAGATTTTCTGTGTTATTTGTGTATTCATACAATCGAATCTTGCTAACGACACTTTGAACAAGAACTGTACAATTTTAGTGAATATGGTTCTACTCGTCATTAACCGTAGGCTGTAATGTATGGCTGGCAATGTTATACGACTTCAGAAATCAACAAATTGTTGACTTCATGGTTCACGCGTCGATGATATCACATTTCACATTTCACTATCTCATACCTCGTTTTTCTTTCAGGCTTTTCTGTTTTCTCCTCTCTAGTTCTGACGCCATTTGTTTCATGTAAGATACAACCTACAGAGAATGTTTTTAGTTAAGAGCACAGGTTTGGCAGCTGACTGATGTATGGGTGGATAATATAGCAATCAATAAAGTTTAATATTAAGAATGATAACTTCTGATGATGGCAAGTGGGTCGGATTATGGATCAAACAAAGATTACACAATACAAATCCAATGAATGTAAATACCCCCAAATTAAAAGTAACATCCATCAAAGTAAAACAATCTATTCAATCCAATTTGAAACCACCCATTACTTTTTACGTCCATTATTTCTTGAAACGATTCTTACATTTATTCCCTTATCAATACTTATCATGACTGATGAGATTTTTGCTACCCCACACAGACATTTACTCCGGCTTTAACCTTAGTACTATGATGTCATCCACAACCATGAATGTTACTTTTACTATACCAGTACTTCAATAGCTTCATCTTACACTGATGAAACTACACATGTCATACCTGCTTGGCACTATTTTTGCATTGCTTTTCATCAAGACAATCACCTGCGACCTTTTTCAATGGTTCCAACAATGGGTTATCCTTCACATCAAGCCATTTTAGCCTGAAATAAAACAGTACTGTTTAAGCAGGCGAGGGACTGCATAAAATCCTGAAGGTTTATTTCATTGTACCATTGCATTTTATGTGGTCTATTGAAATAAACAAACAGGGGAGGGACTAGTGTTAGTGACCTCGCCTGCTACAGTTGCCTATAGGCAGTATGTCAATATTAGGTCAGGTTAAATTTTGTATTGAATTGAAATTTGTTAGGTAATCGAATAAATCGCCAGAGATCTGTCAACAACCTGACAAATATGAAAGGGGGATGACATGTGATGTTACTTACTTGCTTAAATAGCAGAAACTAACTGGCAAGTTTGTAAGCTTGTTTTGGTACAGGTCAATACGTTGGAGATTGATCAGCTTTCCAAAGCCTTCTGGCAGCTCACTAATCTGGTTCTTACTCAGATCCAGCACCATAAGGTGTTGCAAATTACAGAAGCTGTCCTGAAACAATTGTCACAGATAATCAAAATCAATCGCGATTCGTAGCCAACGCTGCATAGTACGAGGCAATGTATATAATTTCTTTAAGTGCGATCTGACAAAATGCACAACGGTTATCTCATGTAACATTAATCAGTTACAGTACAAAATATCTCAAACTATTTTATGTAACAATCAATTTCACCTTTATTCTGCAAGATTTTTTGTACAAACTAGACTTTCCCATTGGTAGTGACAAGCGTTTAATTTTCTTTGTGATAATTGAAGACACCGCTTATCTGCGACAGGGTCTACTATCTCTCTTGGTTTCAAGTCTACTGCTTTCACATATATACAATAAAAGTGTAGTGTATCCCTCTGTTAAATTAGCAGCTCATTAAAAACACAAACGTGAACATCTTATATGTCACTGGTGTAAGTACAAACCTTCACTACAACCTGTATGTGTAACATGTCTTACGTCACTGGTGTAAGTACAAACCTTCACTACAAACTGTATGTGTAACATGTCTTATGTAGATACACACTGCATGCCTATACTGTACTAGCTAAAGCAGGCATAGACCTTTCGGGTAAGTAACGCTGAAGGGGTCGTTGTCGTATATGTAATATCCGAGGTGTCGGCGAGTATGTCGCCTACGCCTACTCCCTAACCCTAACCCTAACACCCTAACCATATCAGATAGTTACCTCGGGTACATATTATATGCCATTATACGACAATGACCTTTCGAGCGTAAGTAACCCACAGTATTCGAAGTGCACGGCAGAATGCATCACAGCTCATCGATTTAATACTCACAGGAATGTCCCGTATGCTATTGCAGGACAGGTCCACATTGGTAGCTTGAGGTAGTGCAGCCTGAATATGATATAATAATTACCTAATGTTGCTGTCTTGTTTTTAAGCAATGCATATTATAGAAATTAGGCATGAGTAGAAGTGAGTCAAATACCTATGTAGCAATACCATGATATTACTATGAGTCTATGTATATTGTACAGCTACTCAATGCATAACTGCTCATGTATACTAGATACTCGAATAAAAATAAACTCCAGTATGTAAGAGTCTAAGCTCTGATTGGTTGAAATTAGATTACATTATGCAAAAGGTTGCTGGACCTAGTGGTTTTCAGATTACTATGATCCAGGGGTTGTTGCCAGAAACACCATACATAATAATAACCATTATAGTATATCATTAAAAATGAAATGTTATCCAAAAGTTATGGCATTTTCATTTTGACATATGATAGACATAAATACTTATGGATATGGTGCTCCTAACAACATTATCCTGTAAGACGACTTTAAAACTAATGATAATGGGAGTACTATAATTACTTATCAGTCTAAGCATGGATTATTACCAGTTCTTTCATAGGAACTACTGACAGATCACTCATATTGAGATCCAACTCATTTTCATCAAGCCGGTCCTTCAAGTTCAAGTTGAGGCTCTCTTTCGGCATCTGAAATTTATGATTAAATTGAGATGCAAGTTGTTACCACACATCTTTGGTTGGTTCTTAATTTACTATAACCATTTCTGTTCACTCACACAAATCTAGACCTGAGTTTAACTACGGAATGAAAAGTAACACCAACTGTGACGTATTCACCCTACACAAGCAGAGCGTTCATCATAAACATCCTCCTTGGTCAGAGTTAAAAAATTGCATTCTAATTTCTATAGTGCAATGTAAATTTATATGTAAAAGGCAGTTATTATCACATTTAAGGTATAAACTCATATGGCTGTCCTCCTCGGAGAATATTAACTCACTGGTTTTATTAAACATTGTAATCACTGCACATATTTTTGGTTGAAATCTGCATGCATTCTCATGTAAATTACTGTCTGTATAAACGTAACCCCAACGCATTCTGGACTTTGCACGCTTCTGTATACCTTTTGATCATTGTGTAGGCCTATAGTTTGATTCAGCCCTTTACCCTGGTTTTTGTCGATACCATTTTGACTGTAAACCACTGTTTTGGTTCCTGAGGACAGTGAGGTTACTTATCTGCTATGACATTAACGTTTATGAGTCATACACTTTAATTGAGCACAGTAGCAGCATCATTACAGATCATAAGTAACACTGTAAGAATGCTGCTACTGTGGCAGATAAGGTCTATGTCCCCCAGGGTACTGCCGGGACGTACCCTGGTACTAAATACTACTATCTAATATGCCGGACCGTACCTCGCCTATTCCACTAAACGAGTCTAGGGAGTCGCCTAAGCCTACTCCCTAACCCTAACCCTAACTCTAACCCTAACCCTAACCATATCAGCTAGGTAGTTACCAGGGTACGTTCCAGCAGTACCCTGGGGGACATAGACCCTATCAGTGCTACTGTGCATGGTTGTCTTGTTGCATGTTTTCACACCCCGATACACCTTTTTGCCCACAATTCTTTATCTTGAAGAATATTTATAAGATTTGGCATGATGTTTTTGGCCTTGTTAATTTTTCTCTCTTGCACTCGATATTCTTTTAATGATCTTGCCATATACACTAATTTTAGTACTATATATAATATATATCAAGAGTACATAATAGAGATACTCTCTATTATGTACTCTTGATATATATATCAAGAGCTAATAATACCTCTATTATAATAATATCTCTCTAATAAGGGTTCTCCCTACGTTGCGCAAACGGGGCGCGCGCGCCCCGTTTGGGAAAACTCCCCCTTGTTTCAATCATTGCGCCCCGTTTAAATTTACCTCCGCCCCGATTAAATTCCACCACAATAAAAGTTTGATAGCGCGGGAATCGATCGTCAAGAATTCCCATTCGACCAGGACGACCGACGCGTGTATTTTTACGCATGCACTGCAGACCATACACAAGTACAAAAAGTTAACCTGTCCCGAACCCAACACTAACTGTACACAGACTCGGCTATCTTATATATACAAGAACCCCCAAATACCGTCTATGGTGTGGTGGCAATTTTTACGCATTAATTAGTGGTCGGTAAAAAAAACAACCCCCCCGGACCCCCCT